TTCAGTTTCAGTAAAGTAGTAACAGTAAAAAAGTAAGTAACAGTTTTAGTTACAAGTAAGAGATCCTTAGTGTTGTACCCCAATATTGTTAATTAATGTTGTTATTGTGGAAAAACAATATCAGTTCTTTTTTGGGTCAAGTATTAAGGAAGTTCTTCGCAACACGCGCAGGGTTTTTGTTGTTTTTTCGCGGCCGTCTGGTGTAAATACAAAGCGCTATAATCGTAAAATGAGTTAGGTATCAGCCGTTGTCGGTGCGTTTTTGTCTGCCACGATCAGCGAAAAAGGTCATAAACCAGAACTGTATTTAAAGGTATCCACAGTTAACAGATGCTCACAACAAGTAAGAGTAATAAACTGAGTCAAGTAAGTTTTTTATTTATTGCCCTTCTAGGGAGACGAGCGTACGGCTCACCTATACTTACTGGAGGGTGTATGTTGTTAGTAGTTTTTATTGTTGTTTGTAGGACGAGAGCACACAGTTTAAGAGGTATTTATGTGTTACCGGAGCCTATGAGATCACGATATGAATGACCTTGAAACAAAGTCGCAGTCTCAATTGTGTGCTGTCCTACCCTTCAAGCTATAATGGCAGTTTCGCGGTAGAAATAGTAACGATGGGAGTACCTTTATTTGTTTCCTTTACTTGGTACTTACACGAAAATAAATGATTGAAAATCATAAGGTTAAGGTTTAAGGTTCTTTATTTACAAATGACATTCTCTGCCTTTGGAAACGCAGTCAATAAAATTGTATTTCTTATAACATGAAATTGAATAGTCAAAGCTATCTGTAAATAGGCAAAGACAAAACAGTTAAGTAGCGTTTTCTCTTCTGTTTGTGAACCGACTTTCTTTAATATCAATAGCTATTTAGTGTTATCAACCTATACATACATTTTGAGGTAGTCATTTTTCATCTTCAAAATGTAAATTACAACGCAATAGAACAAGTGTTATAGATAACTTTATTACTGGTGGTAGGATCTCTTGTGAGTCCCCACGGGTAGGTACCACCACCCCGCCTATTTCTGCCGTGAAGCAGTAATGCGTTTCGGTTTGAAGGGCGGGGCAGCCGTTGTAACTATACTTGAGACCTTAGAACTATATCTCAAGGTGTGTGGCGCATTTTACGTTGTAGATGTCTATGGGCTCCAGTAACCACTTAACACTAGGTGGGCTGTGAGCTCGTCCACACATCTAATCAAATAAATAAAAAAAAGATAAAGTTAACGTCAATGTTCATAGTATGTTAGTGCTTTTGATCAAATTACGTCCGCCGGGCGAACATTTATAAAAAAAAAAATGTAGTCGAAAATTTTCTGAGCACGATCAACAAATATTTTAACGACTAAAGCTTTCATAGTCCTTCAATTGCGCGCTCAACTATGCGACGTTATTTGCACTCGTAATGTTCAATGCAATAATAAAACAATTTGACATGTGAAGTTTTGATGAGTCAAAGGAAGATTCGCGAAATCACGCTTCGTTTCCCTCCAATAATAAAGGAAAAGTTTCTTCCCGGGCTCGTATTTATTGCGAGACATATTACCGTTTTGAAGGTTCTGTCTTCTTGGATGATCGACGTCCGCTCGCAGTGTCGGGACAAACTTGATGTCGGATCCATCATGCCATGTGTGGTGCTTGATATAAGTGTGCGTATGATGAGATTATGTGTGACGTACATATGTGTTAGACATTACATTATTATTATGTATTAGTATTGGGTAATTAGTAATTTGTTAATCATTAAAAAATGCGTAAATACATTTGTACATAGGTACATAAGTGTTGGTGGCAAGGCTCGCTTGGCTTATATTATATATTCAATTATTATTTTAAATAGAACATTTACTGCTCATTTAGCCATTTAAGTTCTTTAAAAAAACAGGTATTTTTTGGTTTGATGTATGATCAATTTGATGATCGACATGATGTAAATAGTGAATTTTGGGATGAATTTTGTGAAATTTGTTTGAAAGATGCAACTTCTGATTCCAAGATGATCAGAGTGAAGGATACTAGCATCGATATAAAAATACTGATATCCTGCGGCGACTACACTTAGTGGATTAAAGGCAAGAGGGAAATTAGGAAATAAAATTATTGGACCCATTTTTTTAAGCGAAAACGGGAATCAACCACTGTATCATTAAAAACAAAATACGTAGTATATATTATAACAAATTAAGCATATAAAAATTGTCACTTTAATAATATCCTATTTTGATAAGCCCGAAATGTAATGTGGAGGTAACTGGTAATCACCCGCGTTCAGTTGAGAGCGTTGAACCCATACTAATGTATGATTTCAATTCCATTACGTTACGTCAAATTTAATTTTTTTTTTTTTTAAACGTGTTTTAGTACAATTTTGTTAAGAACCTCATACACTATCATTTGTGGTCGATTTCGGGCAATCTTGTAATACACCCAGGCCTCATATACATATGCATGTGTATCATATTTTATTCTATACAGATTACTTTCATCTATCCGTTATAGTACCTAATTTTGATTAAATTCATATTTTTCGCAATTTTTTGCGGCTTCACATTTATAATCTACGTGAATACAGAAGGAGGGCGTCCTCCAGGAAGGGGACTCTCTTCAAACTTCATTCGAAGGATAAGTAATAGCGGTCGTGAAGTAAGGGAGTTCATTTCAGAGTTGGTTTTCGAAAAACATGGATTCTGGTGACGGGCTTTAGCATGGTAAAAAGGAGACGATCAAATTATCCAAGAACCTTTCGCAGAGTACTCCCCATGGAACAAGGCACAGACGTTCCAATGAGTTAAATGGGATTTGATGCTACTTGTCACCCCTGGCCCAGAGATGGCAGCAGGGCTCGACGCGACAGACTGTTGTTCTTGTTTGTTGTTAGCCTTGTAAAGCACAAGTCTTTGTCTAGTCGTTGTTAAAGACTCTCAATGTTTTAGAATACAACCTTCCAAATGGTTCCAATACGGAACACCGCTGGAAACTTCACTGCCAAGAATCCGCAATCTTCTTCAGGATTCTTGGTAGCGATGTTGATTGTAGATTGCGGGACACTTCTTGAAATTGCGGCGCCATAAGGAGTCTTTCCTCGCAGTCGTATCTTCAAATTACTATTTCAAAAGACAGGATAATCTACGTTTCTAAATGTTATGAAACACTCGTGACAAAGGATACCTAAAGTTCGAACATTAGTTTCTAATCGAGGCTCGTAAATTCTGGTACGGTCGACTTTTGTTTGTAATTGTTCTAGTTCCACGCTCGACTTACCTCGCATTGTTTATTTATTGTCTCTGTAGTTCCCTTGCCGAAACTATCTATATCTATACTAATATTATAAAGAGGAAAGATTTGTTGGTTTGTTTGTATTGAGTAGGCTCTGAAACTACTGAACCGATTTAAAAAATCTTTCACTGTTGGAAAGCTACGCTATCCCCGGGTGACATAGGCTATATGAGTCGACTATTATCAAAGCCGGCAATCTGACTTTTGGATAATTATTGGTAAATCAGAAAAACGAATTATTGACTTTGTATTCCATTGGCAGTCACAAAACTCTTCGGAACGACATCTTAGATAAATAACAGGTTAAGTATTAACCTTTATTTAATACAGGTTTTGAACCGTATTCTTTGAAGGAGACGATTATATTCAAATCAATCTGTATTGACATATCAATAACATTTTTTTGTCCAAATGCACAGATTGCCACCTTTGATAATAGACGACTCATATGTATTATATTTTCAAAAAAATTAGGGATCCTTACTGAAACTCCAATAATATAATCCAATGTGTAACAAAATTACCTAAAATTCTTTACATCGTGTGCGCTACTTCCTAAGCGAAGCCGGGCGGTCCGCTAGTTTGCTTTAACCTCGTATTGCTAATGTATAAAAATATTTCTACTTGAAACATAAGTCGAGACTCATCTAATGTTGCAAGCAGGCTTTACTGCTACTATCAATAGTCGCACGCAAAACAATGTCGGGTAAACTTTCATCTGCCTTTTCACATCATTAAAGAAACAGCTCTTTAATGCTTTGGTTGACTTAGCCGTCGTTGATATTTTAACAAAAACATTGCACAAACACATACGTAAGGGTGTTTTCACGTTGCACGGTTCAAAGTGAGATATTTAAGGCTTCGTCAAACAGAACGCGTAATTAGCGCTTATAGCGCTGGCGCTCTGTTTGACCGTATGTTACCATAGTAGTACAACACATCTCGGCGTCATAGCGCGCCGTCAGTTTAGCGCTCTGACGCGCGCTAATTACGCGTTCTGTTTGACGAAGCCTTAAGAATGAATTAATGAGAAATTGTCAATAACGATGAACCTGACCTAATCAGAAGGAAATCATAGTCGGGGTGGCATTGAAAATAACATTTAAATTTTGCGTGAAGCGGAAATACATAGATATATATATAATTCAAAAACAGGCTCACACGCATCTTATAGACAAAAATTTTAAACACGTAGACTTTATAAAGAATTCAATCAGAACTGAAATATCCCTCTCAATACGAGAATCTTTTATATTTTCTACGTCTACGTAACCCCAGGGATGTTTCCCGTATCGTTTCGATATTGAAATTACCATAGTGAAATACAGAGAAGAAACGTGCATTTCAAGATTTTCATTATTTGATTTTATTGAAATTTTTACACACGGTAAATAGAACGTGTACAGATTACGACTTAAGTTTTACTCGGTTATTCAGAGATGATAAATTTGACGGTAAGACAAAACGAAAATTGAATATCGTCGGTGGTGTGGTTAATTAATATACAGGGTGGAGGTTAGATTCTTAGTCAAGAGTTAGTATCTTTGTCAGTATCTTTAGCAGCACAGTTACGTTGCTGCATATGTATCATGTCGTATCACGTTGTCTCAATTTCTATCTTAAACAATATAAATTAACAACATGTCATTAAAACCAAAACACCTAGTTAATTATATCAATTAATTTATTCCACTTATGCATACATACATTGATGGAAGATTACTGGTGCTTACCGCATACAATTTTTAAGTTGTCCACAGGCGTGCCTGTTCGATATTTCTTATTATAGAAATCCATGAAGAGAAATATGAAGAGAACAATGTTGGATAAACCCAACCAGTAGGTACCAGCGTGCATAGGACAGTCCGTTATGTGCGTCTGAATCATTACGTGAATCATTATCAAGAGAAATTGAATCTGAAAATAATTGTGCAAGTTGAGTAATAGTCGTAGTTTCAGCTCGAGATTATTGTTTTCAATCATATTTCAGTTGTGAAGAGTTTTGAGGTCAGTTATTTTTGGTGCATAATAATTCGAAGGTATTGCAGCTATTACCGCTTGATTTCCTATTTCTTATTTTCTCTATGGGTGAAAGAGTTCACGGCCCACCTATTGTATTAGTACTGTATTAGTACCGGAGCCCACAGTTCTAAGTCTTGACCGGTATGGTACGGCTGTCCAACTTTTCAAAACGGAACGTATGATTGCTTCGCGACAGAAATAGGCAAGGTGGTGGTACCTACCCATGCAGGCCTATAATACTCGCACCCGTATTATCCTGAAAAGTTATTTGATAGCACGAAAAATGAATAGTTTCTTTTGTGGTTAAGAACATTAATCGATATCAAACATTAACTTTTTTTCTTCAGATGCCAAAACTATATAATATATACGTTTTGTTACCATTACAACATGATTACTGTACGGTAACATTAGAAATAATTCCGTCAATTTAGATCTAATATTTCTCAAGCAAATTACTCACTCCAGTTAAACAAAATTAAGCTTAATAAAACGTAGTGTTTAGAGTGTCTAGATAAAATTACGTAACTCAGTGAAAAGGTAGCTAGAGAAGAAAATGAACAATATTTTTTATTTTATTTTATGGCTTAAACGGATGGACGAGCTCACGGCCCACCTGGTGTTAAGTGGTTACCCGAGCCTATAGATATCTACAACGTAAATGCCGTCAACCACCTTTAGACATGAGTTGTAAGGTCTCATTTTTAACAGTACAACGGCTGCCCCGCCCTTCAAACCGAAACGCATTACTACTTCTCGGCAGAAATAGGAATATGACTTGTCCTTCTTCAAACGTGGCTTGTGGAGAGTACTCAACGGTAGGCAGCGGCTTGGCTCTGCTCCTGGCATTGCTGAAGTCCATGGGCGACGGTAACCACTCACCATCAGGTGGGCCGTATGTTCGTCTGCCTACAAGGGCAATAAAAAAAAAGTTGGTGGTGCCTACCCGTGCGGACTCACAAGACGTCCTACCACCAATAATTACGCAAATTATAATTTTGCGAGTTTGATTTTTTTAAACACGATGTTATTCCTTCACCGTGGATGTCAATTGTGAGCATTTGCTAAGTAGGTTTTTCATTGGAAAAAATTGTACTTTTTTATGATTAAAGGATTACTGGTGGCCCAGAGACCTTTCTAGTTTCACCAGGACAAGTGGGCGAGTAAAGGCTCAGCCAGGAGGGGTGGGATTTGCTAACAGCTGCCCGAGCCCCTCCCAAGGGGACCTAACAACTTAAGAGCAACTGCTTCGCGAATGTATCTACTACCGGATCGGAATCGCGACCCACTGAGATCCGGCGAGAAACTCAGCGGGCTGATGCATGGGTTAGGTTGCACATCGACTTCTTTGTCGAGTTCGACGAGTACGGTTACCGGAGTTCCTAAGCCTGCTCCTAGTGTTAGAGCTGAAAGCGTCTAATGCAAAGGTTATTGGATCTGATGGATCCGTAAGGACGTGTCTAGGGCGTCGACGATGACTGGCTCCTGCGTGATCAGGATTCGGGGAGTAGTCAGCGGCGGCAACGATAAGGCGATTATCAGGACGCATAGCCTTATCGAATTACCGTTCCGACGCTGTCTTCATGTATTTCCGGATTGATTCGAGGCTCAGGTCGTCATGTAGGTCAACGTTCCTAACGAATCACAGAGCTCCGACGGCTAGCCTGCAAAAGCGGGACTGTAGGGATTGGAGGGTGTCTATGTGTGTGCGGGCCGCGTGAGCGAACACCACACTCGCGTAAGCTATGACGGGAATTTGTACCTGCCGGCGGGATTCGAACACCGATTCATCGCTACATACGAATGCACCGGACGTCTTACCCTTTAGGCTACGACATATGAACTGGACTGGGCGCTTCAAAAGTCGACTCTGTTCTTGATGTAAATAATTAGTAAACATTCTGTATTAAAAAAATCTACGGGTTTAAATAACAAATTATTATAATATTAATAATAAATATACATAACTATTTAACAATATCATATTATTATACCATATTTTGATACGAATTAATATTTAGACACCATTTTGTGATTTAAGCTGGTAATTCAATGTAAACTCAAATTTAAGACCACGTCAGGGGCACTATCAAATTTGATGTAGTATTTTCGGGACCTGATTTGGTCCTAATTGCTATCAGACGGAGCCTTAGGGCTTCGAATTAATTTTCATAATAGAAATCAGTGATGAGACAATCTTGTTATTAGGTCTTGACTTACGAAATTGCCATTTAGTAGACCGAAAGTTAAAGCCATATTTTTTTATTGGTGACAGGACCTCTTGTGAGTCCGCAGGGGTAGGTACCGCCAACCAGCCTATTTCTGCCGTGAAGCAGTAATGCGTTTCGATTTGAAGGGTGGGGCAGCCGTTGTAACTACTCAGACCTTAGAACTTATATCTCAAGGTGTGTGGCGCATTTACGTTGTAGATGTCTATGGGCTCCAGTAACCACTTAGCACCAGGTGAGCTGTGAGCTCGTCCACTCATCTAAGCAATAAAAATATATATATTATTATATACGGTGCTATAATTATTATTAATATATGTATGTAGTTTTCACGTATCTTTTCACAAATACTTTTACTTTACTCAAACTCGTAATCAAGAATGAAACTGTTCTACGTAGCCGTTAAAATTAACTCTACCGCTTAACTGATCGTAAAATTTCGTGAAATTACTTTTAACGTTACGCGAAATAACGTGACCACTTTATGGCGGCGTTTGTATGCCATGCACGCTAATTTGTTCCTTTGATGATCTTTTATAAATTGGACAATGTTCAATTGTATGCGAACTGGCAATGTTTCATAGTTTTATTGGTCATACAGACAAGCGCGCTAATTAGATGTGTGATGATTTCCTTTCTTCAGCAATCTTCGAGCTTATTAAGAAATTATTTTATTTTTGTGACTGAACTATAACACTAGTCCAAATAGCTGATATATATATGTGATATGTATACGTAATAACATATAAGTACGTAATTATTACATACGTAAGTATACGTAATAACATATGTGTTTTGTATTAAAGAGGGAGAATCATAAAATTTGAATGAGCTTTTCTTAGGGTAGTGTGGTATTAAGTTTGAGCAGTGTTGGTTACTTAATAATAATAGCATAGTTTCACTGGATTTTGTCATAGCAATTTCGAATCGTAACATGATTTACTCAGAACTATTAAAATACTCAAGCATCCACAAAAAGGTAGCTGACAAATTTATATTGAAAATCGTAGTTTGTCTTAGCTTCCATTTAAATTAGAAGGCAAAGTTTTAGCAGAAATCACGAACAATCACAATCACGTTTCATCACTGGTGGTAAGACCTTTTGGGAGTCCGCACGGGTAGGTACCACCACCCCGCCTATTTCCGCCGTGAAGCAGTAATGCGTTTCGGTTCGAAGGGCGGGGCGGCCGTTGTAACTATACTGAGACCGTAGAACTTATATCTCGAGGTGAGTGGTGCATTTACTTTGTAGATGTCTATGGGCTCTAGTAACCACTTAACATCAGGTGGGCTTTGAGCTCGTCCATCCATCTAAGCAATAAAAAAAATTAAAAAAAAACATGATGAATCACTTACCAATTGCATTATAGTCAAGTACTTTTTCCACCACAAGTACTTTCTGTATTTCAGCCCAAAAGACGCTATCCCATAATACGCGTACATGAAAACGTGAATCGTGCAATTTAACACGGCCATAAACGCCCAGTGGTCCGACGGGTCGTATTTCAAACTGGACCAAGTAATCATTACCATGAACACGTGGTGATAAACGTGTAGAAACGTTATTTGACTGTACTTCTTACGGAGTACGAAGAAAACCGTATCGAAGAGGTCTAGAACTTTCGTCACCATGTACTTCCAGTATAGAGCGGCGATTGTCTGGAACGTAATATTCTTTATGCTAGTGCTAGATACATTGAGATCTTCAATAAATCTCGGATCCTTTTAGCGACTGATGTCGAGGCTGTGTGAATCACTTACATGAACCTATTTATGAAAACTGTGCAGGCAACGCGAAGACTGGTAAATAGCACAATGACAAGCCAGTTGATTCATCTGGTGGTACTTCTACTATGTTTTACTTTCTTTATGGTATTTAGTTTATCATCAACAATTATCCTTTTAATCTTTTGTTTAACATTGAATTTTAGTATTATCCGTTTTATTTCTAAAGCGGCAAAATGGGTGGGCAAATCTGGCTCAGAATCAGTTGGTTCCTGCGATGGTTGTCAAGTCTATGCGTTTGGTTATATTTATTTTAGAAGTTACTGAAAATATGAATCTTATTTTTACATATTTTATATAAATGTTTATTTCTAGGCTTTTTAGTACATGATCAATGCGTTAATGCATTGTTTATTAACCTATTGAATTGAAAATTTGCAAAGTTTCAACACATTTGAGGTAGTCTTCTAACTTTTAGATAGTCATAGCAAAATTCATATTAAACTGAAATACGATATAGATTTTTTTAATAAATAGATAACTATATAACTCACGTATAAAACATCGTCATCGTATTCACAATTTCTCGGAAACAATCCGCGTTCTTGAATATATCGGAGAAACTAAAACCAAGCAACGCAGAATACGTTAATGAAAAAAAAAAAAAGGTTTGGTCCGCCTATAATTGGAAAGCTTGCCAGATAGTGAAAGCAGTTTATTAACTAAATCACTGTTAAGCAAAATATACCTACAGATATGCAACTCCGTTATCCGCGAGGTTATTACTTTTGAATTATCGGTAATCTGTGGCGGTATTATTCGCATTTTATTTTAGTACCTCATAATATATATTTTTTATGGGTGGACGAGCTCACATCCCAACTGGTGTTAAGTGGTTACTGCAGCCCATAGACATCCACAACGTAAATGCGCCACCCACCTTGTGATAAGTTCTAAGGTCTCAGTATAGTTACAACGGCTGCCCCACCCTTCAAACCGAAACGCATTACTGCTTCACGGCAGAAATAGGCAGGGCGGTGGTACCCACCCGCGCGGACTCACAAGAGGTCCTACCACCAGTAATTACGCAAATTATAATTTTGCGGGTTTGATTTTTATTACACGATGTTATTCCTTCACCGTGGAAGTCAATCGNACGGCAGAAATAGGCAGGGCGGTGGTACCCACCCGCGCGGACTCACAAGAGGTCCTACCACCAGTAATTACGCAAATTATAATTTTGCGGGTTTGATTTTTATTACACGATGTTATTCCTTCACCGTGGAAGTCAATCGTGAACATTTGTTGAGTACGTATTTCATTAGAAAAATTGGTACCCGCCTGAGATTCGAACATCGGTGCATCGCTCAACACGAGTGCACCGGACGTCTTATCCGTTAAAAAAGGCCACGACGACTGTATATCTCAAGGTGGGTGGCGCATTTACGTCGTAGATGTCTATGGGCTCCAGTAACCACTTAACACCAGGTGGGCTGTGAGCTCGTCCACCCATGTAAGCCATTAAAAATAGATTATGATTTGATTATTTGAATATATTAATCTGTATTTTAATGAGAATTTTCATCATTCATTCATCTGAATTTCTCTTGTTAAAAGTTTTCCTTGAATCGGCAAATTCTTGGAAAACATGGAATATATTTGTGAAATTTTTCGGAAAAACCAATTACCTACCTGAAACGTTAACATTGTCGAATTGGCAACTTTAATTGCATTGTAGACTGTCAAGATTGTTCTCATTTGTATAGCATTGAAGTGCTCCATAACCATTGGACCTATTTTTAATATAAACGCCAAATATATTCCCAAAAGGAATGCCATTTCGTTAGATTTCATAAGCGGCCATTTTTCGACGTAGCTCACTAAAAATCATTATAGAAAAATAATAAATACATCATCTTGTTAGATAAATAAAGATTTTATTCACATAAAAATAACCCGGTAAAAATAATATGCTTTTTGTTTATGTTATAATTTATAACATGAATAACTTTTAGTCAGTAATTGAAAAATAGGTAACCATCAATCTAATGATTATTGAAAACATGATGTGGGCTCAAATTATTAGCTATGCGCTAACGGTATAGAGCCACCACCGACCCGTCTAATTCAGTGGGTGTCGTAAAACGCGACAAAGGGATTCACTGGAAAATGGGCGGCATTCTTCTTGGATAATTATAGCAGTAGACTGCGATCTTTTTTACTGAAGGGTGCTTTGTGAGCTCACACGCTACCACGGTCCTGCCTATTACTGCCGTAAAGCAATGTGATCGGATTTTTAGGGTTAGATAGGCGTAATACAATACAATTGTCGTTGAAGTCGTCGTAGTCTAAAGGGCTATAAAGACAGATTTGCGTCGCTTGAAACAAGCAGTCATATTGACGTAAATATAGCGTGGCAGTATAAGTATTTAAGGATATCTAAAGGTAAAGTACCTAATATAGCTTAAAATTAGATGTAACTGAAGATCATATACAAATTAAATTTAATTATTACGATTTAAAAGCATTAAATTTTATAACAACAGATACCATTTTAGAACGCATCTATTTAACTAAAATGCACACAATATTATATAATACTGTCGGGTAATTACTTCAATGCTCTATTGAAATTAAATTACAATGCGATGCTTTTTAGTGGGGCATCATGTAATAAATTTGCGAAGGGTCTCGTATGATATAGCTACGCCACTGTCTGCGAGGTTTTATCACTGTTTTGGGGTTGTTATAGTAAACTTCAATACATTGGTATATAATAATAAAGTTTTGAAAATTTAAGTGCTAATAAAAACTCGTAAGTATAATACTGTTAAGCTACTGTTAAGATTCATGTCTTACATTGTCCTTTTGGTAAGCTGAACTGTATTTGAAAACACCAAGTCATTATTTGTATACGTAAAAACTTTTGCTTACAAATATCTATACTGCAAAATGGAAATATACTGCTATTGACTTGAATTGCCAATATATATTTCGCAACAAAAAAAATTCTTCGAGTCTTTTAAACGTTTTAAATTTATTTTAGTCGACTTCAGAGAGTGACATTTATTGTGTAGTTCTTTTGTTCTTTATTCAAATGAGGTTTTATATCAGATTTATTTTCCCCCTACCTATTCTAGCAATTATTAGCCTAGAATTTGAACCACTCTCGATTTCGAAGTCATTATCTTTGTTTAAGATGTTTGGTGTTTGGGTGGGTTCGTCCTTTTTTATGCCTTTTTATCAGCCCATCTCGGGCCCGTTCAATGTTTCAATCTATTTCAAATAACCCAAATTATATCCTTTCCTTCCTTTATCCAAAGGCAAGGATATATCTAGTAATTCTGTTTTAACATAGTACCGGATATCTACATTATTTCTAAGGGGCTTACAGATAAGGGCGTGTGTGCGTATTCAACACGACTCTTAAGTGACAGAATTATATTATGACCTCGAATTGTGGCTATTGTTTGGTATGAAGTATTTGTACAGCATTTAATTAATTATCATTTAATTCACGGCCTACCTGGAGCTCATAAAAATTACAACGTGAAAGACGCATCTCACCTTAATTTTTTTTATGATTGAAGGATCACTGGTTGCTCGGAGGCCTTTCTGGAGGGTTTTATTACACGATTTAACAACAAGAAAATGATACTATTCGCGAAAATATAATTTGTTTCGATTTATACTTAATCTGGCCATAAATACTGTTACAATTAAAAATAAACATAATATTACATTTGAATTTCGAATCTGTCATTTTTATATGATTGCTCATTGAGTTTTCTCATTTTGGCGCCAATACATTGTACAATATTTTGCGATATTATAATGGAGTGGGGTGATAAAGAGAACCGAACCGCTGTGATTGCAATACACAAAGTAGGTATGGAGCCAAATGCAATTTTTAAAACTCTCCATACGCTTGGTATAAGTAAAATGTTTGTGTACCGGACTAAGAAACAGATCTGGCCGTCCACGTAGTGTTCAAGTTCAAAAAAGGTGGTCAAAGCAGTAAGGGAAAGAATTCGAAGAAATCCTGTCCGAAAGCAAAATATTTTATCTCGGGAGATGAAGATAGCACCTAGAACCATGTCGCATATTTTAAAAGATGACTTAGGACTTGCAGCCTATAAGAGACTTACTGGTCATTTCTTAACTGATAATTTAAAAGAGAATAGGGCGGTAAAATCGAAACAACTACTGAAGCGGTACGCAAAGGGAGGTCATAGAAAAATTTTATTTACGGATGAGAAAATTTTTACAATTGAGCAACATTTTAACAAACAAAATGACCGTATTTATGCTCAAAGCTCTGAGGAAGCTTCCCAATTAGTCGACAGAGTGCAATGTGGGCACTATCCGACTTCAGTGATGGTTTGGTGGGGTATTAGCTATGAAGGAGTGACTGAGCCATACTTTTGTGAAAAAGGTATCAAAACATCGGCACAAGTGTATCAAGATACCATTCTTGAGAAGGTAGTGAAGCCCCTTAACAACACCATGTTCAATAATCAAGAATGGTCCTTCCAGCAAGACTCGGCACCAGGTCATAAAGCTNCCCTAGCTAATGAGTTGACAAAAGTCAGTTACATTAAACGACTGAAACGTCATGATATACAGGGAGTTGGTGACAGATAGTGATTAATGAGGAGTCTCCTGGTGAGGAGCCTCTTCGACGCGATGGCACACGCAACGGATCTGCTCATAGTCCAGGACTGATCGCAGATAGGCACATAAAAAAAAAAAAAAAAAAAAAAAAATTCAAATAACCCAAATTATATCCTTTCCTTCCTTTATCCAAAGGCAAGGATATATCTAGTAATTCTGTTTTAACATAGTACCGGATATCTACATTATTTCTAAGGGGCTTACAGATAAGGGCGTGTGTGCGTATTCAACACGACTCTTAAGTGACAGAATTATATCATGACCTCGAATTGTGGCTATTGTTTGGTATGAAGTATTTGTACAGCATTTAATTAATTATCATTTAATTCACGGCCTACCTGGAGCTCATAAAAATTACAACGTGAAAGACGCATCTCACCTTAATTTTTTTTATGATTGAAGGATCACTGGTTGCTCGGAGGCCTTTCTGGAGGGTTTTATTACACGATTTAATAACAAGAAAATGATTATATGCCTACTATTCGCGAAAATATAATTTGTTTCTAATTCTTAAATTGTTTCTAATTCTAATTTCTAAAAAATAATATATTGAAAAATGTAAATGAGATACATATGTATATAAATTATTAATAGCATCTACTTGATTGCTATTAGTAATAGGCTTACTGTTTTCTTTTCAGCGTTCCGTATTTTAATTTTTCTGTCAACTTTGTAGTGACTCATGGAAAAGTGAATATCGTTACAATCTCAACTTTAAGTAATTTATCCACAAGCTTTATATAAAAAGCTAGACTGAATTTCTTCTTTCATAAGTAGACGAGAGTTCACAATCCTTTTGGTGTTACCTAAAAGCACTTTTTGGGGGTTCTGGCTACCATCTTATACTACATATAAATAAAATTGAAGTGTCTGTTTGTAACGTTGAAATAAACGCTTTTTACTACGCCATAAATACTGTTACAATTAAAAATAAACATAATATTACATTTGAATTTCGAATCTGTCATTTTTATATGATTGCTCATTGAGTTTTCTCATTTTGGCGCCAATACATTGTACAATATTTTGCGATATTATAATGGAGTGGGGTGATAAAGAGAACCGAATCGCTGTGATTGCATTACACAAAGTAGGTATGGAGCCAAATGCAATTTTTAAAACTCTCCATGCGCTTGGTATAAGTAAAATGTTTGTGTATCGGACTAAGAAACAGATCTGGCCACGTAGTCCACGTGGTCCACGTAGTGTTCGTACGAAGAAGGTGGTCAAAGCAGTAAGGGAAAGAATTTGAAGAAATCCTGTCCGAAACCAAAATATTTTATCTCGGGAGATGAAGATAGCACCTAGAACCATGTCGCATATTTTAAAAGATGACTTAGGAATTGCAGCCTATGAGAGACTTACTGGTCATTTCTTAACTGATAATTTAAAAGAGAATAGGGTGGTAAAATCGAAACAACTACTGAAGCGGTACGCAAAGGGAGGTCATAGAAAAAATTTGTTTACGGATGAGAAAATTTTTACAATTGAGCAACATTTTAACAAACAAAATGACCGTATTTATGCTCAAAGCTCTAAGGAAGCTTCCCAATTAGTCGACAGAGTGCAACGTGGGCACTATCCGACTTCAGTGATGGTTTGATGGGGTATTAGCTATGAAGGAGTGACTGAGCCATACTTTTGTGAAAAAGGTATCAAAACATCGGCACAAGTGTATCAAGATACCATTCTTGAGAAGGTAGTGAAGCCCCTTAACAACACCATGTTAAATAATCAAGAATGGTCTTTCCAGCAAGACTCGGCACCAGGTCATAAAGCTCGGTCTACGCAGTCTTGGTTGGAAACGAACGTTTCGGACTTCATCAGAGCTGAAGACTGGCCGTCGTCTAATCCCGATCTTAATCCGCTGGATTATGGTCAGGTTTATGGTCAGTTTTAGAGAGTACGGCTTGCTCTAAACGCCATGATAATTTGGAGTCCCTAAAACAATCCGTACGATTGAAAAATTTTCCCATGGAAAGAGTGCGTGCTTCTATTGATAACTGGCCTCAACGTTTAAAGGACTGTAATGCAGCCAATGGAGACCACTTCGAATAAGCTTTTTGTACTTTAAATTGTTTTATATTTATATATTAAACTAACACACTGTAAAAGTAATAAATGTTATTTGCAATAGTTTTTTTTTCCTTTGTCTCAGTATTTATGGCAAGACTAGGTATATTTGTGACGTGTATGATCTTCGTGGTAAACACGCACTCTGAACAGGCTGGAAGGATTTTGGCCGCATGTGTGATCTTAAATATTGAGTGTAATCTCTGAAATATTATTGTTATTATTATTATTATTATGGCGTAATCTATGATTTATGGCAATTAAAATTTACCCTCTGTAATCATTACCAAAAATCCAATGATTCAGCTATTTTTTATTCTACATGACAATGAAATGTTTGTTGTATGTTTTGTGTGAAATAACAGTAGCAAGGAACAGTGAATGTTAGTTAGAGTAAAATATCATATCGCAATATTGGCTTTGTGCCAGACTGTATTGTTGAATAATTTATTTCTGGCTTACAAAACGCCTAGATAGGTTCTGCAAATATTACGAAAAGGCCAAATTGATATTTCAATTCAATAAAAATACCAGGTAGATCAGTTCTGTGCTTAAAAACATACAGGTGTATGTATGGTAGTGTTTTTAGTAGAAACCTATCATTGATACGCGAGTTCAACGATTTAACGGGTCAATTCATTTTTATTTTACATTCCGCGCTACAGATTTGAAGTTCCTAAAATTTTGATTCTTGTGAATAACTGAATTTGTTTCAATTGTTTTAGAGCAATGTTTCTCAACCTTTTTGTGTGCCATCCCCACTGTAACATTTCTAAATTTTGTATGCGGATACATAATTTTTAACATAAAAAAACTATTTGTTCACTTAAAAAACATAAATGATACGTTTTAGGAAGAAATTACTATGAAATTGTTATCAAAACACAGTAAGAAACATTTCAAAACATATAATAAAAATCTAAAATTCAAATTCAAAATAATTTTAATACAGATTTTCTATATTAATTTAGTGCGATTGCCCCTCTTAATTATCAAATTGCCCCCTTGTGGAGTATGGGCCCCACGTTGGAAAACACCGTTCTAGAGATTGAAAAATAAGCTCACGACTTATATTATGTTTCTGTGGTAAGCGGAGTATATAGACATCAAAAAAAAATTGCCGCCAAAACACCTTGAGACTTCAAAATGAAGCGTCAA